GGATAATCAGTTATAGTTAATTTGTAACCATTTATGACTTTAATATTACCTTGACCATCAGTAACGAAAACTTCATTTATACCATCGGGTTTTCCATTTGGACCCGTAATGTCTGCTTCGTGTGCTTCCCAATTTGGACCTTGACGTTTGGCATATGCTTGAGCTTCTGGTAATGTTAAAACGTTTCTCATTTGTTTAACATCTTTTTGAAGACCAGCAACAATATGAACTAATTCTTTCATTCCATCAGGAACTTTCATAGTTCTATTATATGCACCCTTTTTGTTTGTTCCTTGTTTTAATGGAAACTGTAGAAGATTTGCTATTTCTGTCATGTTTAATTATAAATAAAAAATAAAAATTAATTATAAAAAGTTAATCAAATTTAACACTTCCTTTATTTAAATCAACTATTATTTTTCCATGTTCACCTAATTGCTGATATTGTGTGTAAAGTTCATTAATGCTCATTGGTAAATTCACTTGATAAAGCATAACGTTCAACTGTTGACGACTAAACCCACTGAAAATGAAAAGTGTTGATAGATTTGATTTAATGTTTGTGCTTAATGCTTTAAAGTATTGAACAGCCATAAAGAATGAACACTGAATGTGTCGACATTGAGTTAATAACTGATTAAAATATGATTTCTCATTTGTTATTAGTTTTGATTTCACTGCATCATCTAGAAAAATTAGTGAATGCAAAAATTCTCTATCAAAATTTGAAATAGAAAGTGTTTCAAATAATTCATCCCGTTGTTTATCAATAATTTTATCCTCTAATCCTTGCTTCTTGATTGTATTATATAATTCTTTATACATTAAAAAGTTTTTTAAATAATCTTCTGCTTCTTCTTGTGATAAATAAATAATTGGAATTTTGATTAAATGCTTTAAAGATTCAAATGTATCATCTGAAGGTGAACCTGAACGGTTGATATAAATTAACACATGTGAATGGGGGGAAGTGTTAGCAATAATGATAATTTGTTTTAATATCGTTAATGTTTTACCTTTATTTTGTTTACCAATTGCTGCAGTGATTGAATTTAAGTAACATTCAGAATATGGAATTTTCATTAATTTTTCCTTAGATAGAGCATTTCTATTATCACTCAATGCTTCATTAATCATATCATCTATGTATGTATTATATACTCCTGCTAATTCTTCATAAGGGGTGGATGAATTTAAATCCATTTAATCAAAAATAAATTTATAATTTTAAACATTTCTATTCATCAATATTTCATCATATGAACTTCTATACTGTGGTGGTGTACCTGTTGGATGATATTTCAAACCTTCATCCGGTGTCCATGTCCAATACGTAGTCCTAGTAAACCAAACCTGAGGAGGATTTGTCACCTTTGAACAGTAAGTGTCATTTTCACCCTGAATGATTGGATAAGCTTTCACTTGTACTGTAACTTGTGAGTTGAAAGTTTCTAATCCATCAAAGAATATACCCGCTCCATCACGTTGAACTGGAATAGTGCATAAGAATGAAGTTTGGTCTTTCCATGTTCTAGCTTAATGGCTTGCCATTATCATCATTCAGTGGTCTAGTTAATGAGTCCTCGTATTCTTCCGTGCATTCATTCACTCCATCTAAATCAGAAGCTTGAAGCATACGTGTAAAGAATATGTCACCCACTGTGGTCATCGCTTGATCGGGGAAGTTTCTGGAATCTATAGTGACCTGAAGACCTCGAAGCATTGGATTTTCTAAAACTGTTCTTTGCATTGCATTCTTCGGAAATGCTAACACAACATCTGTAACATTATGAAGAGCGTATGAGAAATCCGAGCTAATACCTTCAGGAGTGATGCAACCTCCATTTAGTGAACGAACGTCAATATGTTGAGCTGGAATCATGAATGGATCTTCCTTACTGAATAAACGTGGTATTGCTTTAACTGATTCTTCAATTAAACCGTATCCTGGTGTAATGCATTTATCCTCTAAAACTTCCATCTTTGTGCATGAAATAATAACACTATCAACTGTTGCGTCAGCAGATGTAGCGGCTAAGCTTGTAATTAATTTGGCAGGAAGTCCGATTTGTTGGAATTTGCGATCATATTTAAAAACATGATTCATAATCTTTTCATAATTTTCATCAGTTATCTTTTCATAAACGTAATTTTGTAAATCAGCAACTCTTAACGGGTCAACCTGACAAAATACTAAAGTATCCCTGAAAACATAATATTTAAGAATGATTTCACCAAATGATTTAGGATAATCATCGAACGCCTGAAATGCTAACAAATCATTTACCGGAATAATCATATCAAAAGTGACATCAACTTCTTCATTTGCTTTCTTGAAAACTTCTGAAGGGTCAATATATTTACCACATACTGAGTTATCATATTTTTGAACATTATTATATAACGAATGAACAAACTTTTTAACTTTCCTTTCTGATTTTGGTTTATATGTTGCAAATGCGAAAGATTCACGGGCGCAATCCATTTGAAGATAACCAGCATCACCTCTTTCGGTTTCTACTTCTAATTGTTTAAAGCTTTGATTTGATGATTTGTAACCAACGAATAAACGCATACATTTAAAAGCGTCATCACATGTGAAAGCTTTATTTGAAATTAACGTAGCTTTAACCTTGCGTTTAATATATGTGTCACCTAATTGATTCACATCATGAGCCAGATTTGTAATTCTTAAATGAGTTTGTTTATCATCAAAATATGGAGCATCAGAGTCATAGCATGAACTTTCAAGTTCTCTATAATATCTTCTACCGTCATTCTTTGCGAATATTTCATTTATCTTTTCGAATGAATGAAACACATTTCCATTAATCGGTTTAGTGTTTGGCACCAAATAGTTAGTCGTCATTTATTATTAAATAAAAAATCAAAATTAAAAGATGAAAATGAATTTTTAATTTTAATGAAATAATCAACTATGGCTGCAGGTATATTTAAGAAATTATGGGATAGAGTAAAAAGAGGAGCGCATAAAGTTTGGGAAACAATGAAGAAAGGAGCAAATTGGATATTTAAGAATAAAGAAGCAATTAGTGACGTTGCTGAATCAATAACGCCAAAAGCTGCCCCAATAAGAGAAATATTAAATAAAGGAGAAAAAGTTTATCAAAGACTTCAACCGATACTAAGATAAAAATAATATTTATTTATTTTTCAACTATTTACCTCCTATTTTATTAAGTATTCCTTCAGCAATTCCACCAACTGCGTTACCTGCTTGTGCTCCCATTGCCGGATTACCTGCTTTAGTACCTAATACTCCACCTATGATAGTTCCTGCCGTTTTCGCTACTGGTGCCAAAAAGTTTGCAACGGGTTTAATAATATTTTTATGAACCCAACCTGCAGCTTTCTTAATTCCATCCCATAATTTTTTAAAGAATCCTGCCGCCATTTCTGATTTAATATTAATTAAAAAATATATTTCATCACTTATATTCTAATTTTTATTTAATAATAAATGAAACCGATTTTAAAAATAAATGAAACAGAGGAGGAAGAAATAAATGAAAGTGAAAATGTTCAACAAAAAATAAATGTTGTTAAACCAATTACTGAAATAAAAATTTTTTCATCTGTTGAAGAATTTAATGACTATTATGCTAACAATAAAAAATTATTTGAAGAATTGACAACGTGTAAATTGAATAAAATGTTTAAAGTTGATGGATTCAAAATTTCAAAAATAAAGGGGGTGGTTAGTTTGAAATCTATTCCTCAATCAAGAATCACCTCATTAATGAAAATAGATGATTTAACAAAAAGAATAGAAGAGATTGAAGAAAGAATAAATCAAATAATTGATATCATAAATTCAAATAATCATTAATTTCTTAAAGTTCAATGTTGATTCTGAGACATGAATGTTTAAAGTTTATTTTTTAATGATTTATTTTTTATTTCATTATGGTAGTTAATTTTTAAAGTTTATTTTTAAAAAAATTATTTTTTATTTCATTATGGTAGTGAATCTTTCATTCATGAAAATAATTATATCTGATTTATTTTATTCTCTCGTACATACTAGATTTGAAGAATTCGGAACTTTTACCATAATCTCCTAAATGTTTTCTTATCCCTAACGTGTGCCAGTTATTATATGAAACTGAATAAACTTTATCTTTATCTTTACACCTTTCATTACTTCCAATATATTTATATCTCAGTTTTGATTTAGCATTTTCATATTCATTAGCGTTTAATAATTCACAGTCTTCCTTTTTAAATTGATGTTTAAGATATTCAGGATTTAATACTCTACGTTTATATGCTCCTAACTTAGTTCTAAAGGTTTTTTACAAAATTTAGGAATTCCATCCTCTTTAATGTCATCAATGATTTCCATTTCATTATTTTCAATTTCTTCTTCTCGTTTATGAGGTCTTTGATTATGACTCCATTGATTCCATGAAATTAAATATTCTTTATCATTATATTTATACCTCATTAGCTTATTTTGGCTTTCATATTCATTTAATAATTCACAATCTTCATTTTTAAATTGAAGTTTAACCCATTCAGGATTTAAATGATGTTTAATTAATCGCGGAATATCTGACATCATATATATATAGCTTCTTTTATAAAAGATAAAAAAATAAATTATTTTAAAATTAATGTTAATTTTTTAATGATTTATAAATAAATATATTTTAATGCATCGTCTATATATAGATGTAACAAAAAAAGTCACTAAACCCGTCAACATATACTACTAAGTGGACAAGAATATCAAAGTAAATATTATAGCAAAAACTTACAAAGCATTGATAAACGAATTCAAATATTTAATGAAATCATTTCTAAAAATCCATATGTTTTGCATCTTCTTGGAATGTACAGATATAATAATACTATAAAGGTATAGGAAACAACTACACAAGAAATAGCACCAGTTTAGAACTATAATCACTTTCACAATACATTAAACTCTTTACATGGAAAAAATTGTATCCAAAAAGTAATATTAAGTTCTTTATTTATATTACGTTATTAACTTGAGTATTTGAAGATAGAACTTCTGAGAGTCCAGAATTTTTACGTCTTCTTAATATGTAATTAACTACAATAACAATAATAGCAACAACTACTATGCATGCAACCGATATGCCTATTATAGCTCCTGTTACTGATTTAGATTTCTTTTGTTCATCGCTCTTGCATTTATTGAACTTAGAAACATTTTCACCAAATAATTTTCCTTTGTATTTAGAATCTAATGTTACAAATGAGATACTTTCTGGATTTGAAAAGTTTCCTGATATTTCAGTGGTTCCTGAGTATATAAAGTTATTAACTTTAACAAAGTTTGAATAATCTATTATCATTTCTTTGATGTTGCAACTTATTGTTAAGTTTTCTAAGTTGAATAGAGACGAATTAGTTCCTTCTGGACGAAATGTCAACTTTTCATTTGCTTGTGAAATATTAAAAGATAAATTGGATGTCAAAGATGTCAAATAAATAGTGTCGATCTTTGATGAATCAAAATGAATTGTTTCAAGTTTCTTGCAGTTTATAAATGCACTAGAATTAAGTGCAAAATTAGAATAGATTGTTATAGAACAAAGATTTTCGCAATTTGAAAAAGCTGATTGACCAAGTGATTCAATGGAAGCAGAAAGTTGTATTTCAGTTATTGATGAGCATGAAGCAAATGCATCATGTTCAATTCTTCTTACATTTGATGGAAGTATAATATTCTTTAAACTTTCACATCCATAAAATGCTTTGTAATCAATAACTTCTAATTCAGCTGGGAAATGAATTTGATTCAATTTCTTGCATAATTCAAATACTCTAAAATCAATTGTTTTCATTTTATGATTTCTAAATTAGATGAAACAAATGCTACATGTTTTATATCGGCTGTTTTTCCTTTGAATTCGACACTTTTCAGATTAGCTAAATTATGGAATGAAAAACTTTCCAAAACAATGTTATCAGAATTAATAATTATAGAAGTCACATTGCTTGATTGGAAACATTCTTTGCCTATATATTGCAAAGTTGGAGGGAAATTACATCCATTTAGTAAACTAGCTTCATGCAATGCTGATTCTTCAAGTATCATCAAACTATCACCAAAATTAATTGAATTCAATTTAGGACACATAGAAATAGCATATTTTGAAATATTTTTCACATGATTTAAGTTAATTTTTTCTAAATTATTCATATGATAGAATGTTCCTTCTAAAAAATTTCAATCTTTGGAGGAATTGTGATTTCAACTAAAGAATTGCAACCAGTGAAGGCTCGTTTTCCAATATATTCAAGAGAATCAGGAAGTTGAATAGAAGATAAATTATAGCAAAAAGCAAAAGCATTCTCTTCAATATATTTTAATGAATTTGGAAGAGTTATTTTAGGAAGTGCTTTACACATTTTAAATGCAGAATATTCGATTCCTTCAAGAGAATCTGACATTTTAATCTTAGTAAGAGAAGTACATCCCTGAAATGCAGATTCATTGATAAATTGTACATTATTTAAATTAATTTCGGTGAGGTTTTTGCATCCATAATAGCAATTTACTGGAATTACTTTCAAATTATCTGTGAAAAATGCATTTTTTAATGAAACGCAGTTTGAAAATGCGCTATCACCAATTATATTTGTGTATTGTGGGATATTAAACATGCTAAGTTTAGTACAGCCGCTGAATGCATTATTTCCGATTCTGAAAGTTTTCGAGGAAAGGTCAAAACTGACTCTTTCAAGTTTTGTAAGTGATGAAAATGAGTTGTCTCCAAGTTCTGTAACATTTAATATAATTCTTGCAACGGTTAAAATTTCTGGTATTTCTTCGAAGCCGGTGAAGCTTCCATCGCCACTGATAGTACATTCAGTATGATCATCATCAAAATTAATTGTTATTGTAGCAAGAAGACTAAAGAGAATAATCATAATAACACAATTTTGACAAACGGTTACAGATTTAAATTGAATACGGTAAAAAAATTATCGTCCGAAATCAGAAATTTCAATGAACTGCTTAATTTTTTACAACCATATCATTCGTTGCCTTGATAAAATATAAAAATTCAACTATTAAATATATTCATTGGGAAATTTATTGAAAAAATTGATTTATGAACCATAATAAGTGCGTCATTAGATTTTTATAAATAATGATATTTCAAAAAAAACCTTTTTAATCACCATAATATATTTTTAAAATAATAATTATGACCATCAAGATAATTAGCCACTGATGTATAGCAAATTACCTATTTTATATAATTTCAAGTTAAAACCGATGTAATACAGCCTTAAAAAAGAATAGTAAATAAAAAAGATTTTTATCTTTATTAAATATTGGAAGGTATCTCTGAAAAACCCTTCATTCTATTCTTTCTCCATCGGAGTATAAAGAATGCAGCAATTACACCAATAATAATTAGGATTGCGAGAGCAACTAAAATACCAACTGTTGGAGACTTTCCACCACACTTAGGATTAACTCCACATTTGGTGTATCTTGAAAGTTCAATTCCAAATAATTTTCCTTTATATTCTGGATTTAAGTTTACGCATTTTATTCTTATGTTATCTGAAAGATCTCCTTCGATTTCATATATTCCATTATATGTAAATGTTTCAAAAGCTACATGTTTTTTGCTATTAATTTTTCTAATTTTACATGTGATATTAATTGCTTGAAAGGAATGGCCAGTAAATGAAATTTCTTCACCTGCATTTACAATATTAATTACACATTTAGGATCAGAAATTGGAATTGTAATATTATTTATAGAAGATGAATTAAATATTATTTCTTTGAAATTGGCACAATTTGAGAAAACATTAACATCAAATTCAACATTCGAAATAACATGTACAAATTTTAGATTTCCACAAGAAGCAAAACATTCTAATCCAACCATTTGTAGAGATTCTGGAAGATATACTTCTGTTAAAGATGAGCAACTATAAAATGCCTTCAAACCGATTTTATTTAGTGACGCTGGGAATCTGATTGATTTCAATTTTTCACACTTATAGAAAGCTTGTTGATTAATTGCTTCTAAATGTTCTGGTAATTGAACATTAACTAATTCATTGCATGAATAAAATAAATTTTTACCAATTATTTTAACATTATTTGGTATTTTGATCTGTTTCAAGCTACTGCATGAAGCAAAAACGCCAGAATCAATGTTCACATTATCATTCTTGAATGTCACGCTTTCAAGAGAGGAGCAGTCTTCAAAGGCATTATCTTCCAGTTTAACATTATCTGAATTAAAAATTAATGATGTAATAGATATTCCTTTGAAACATTTTTCGCCAAAATAACTTAATGTTGATGGTAAATTTAATTCTCCTTTTAGACCTGAATATTCAAAACCACTTAAATAAATTTTAGTCAAACTATCTCCATAGTTAATATCATCCAAATTAGAACAATTTGCTAATGCTTGAGACTCAATAACTTTTACGTGATTGAGATTAATCTTTTTTAAGTTTTTCATACCATAGAAACATCCTGCTGAAATTGATTGAATTTTAGGTGGTACAGTGATTTCTGTAAACCCATTGATTCTACAGAAAGCATTTGCACCGATATATTCTAATGAATCAGGTAAATTAAATGGATCTAAATTGTAGCAGTAAAAGAATGCTGCATCGCCAATATATGTGATTGAATTGGAAATTGTGACTTTCTTAAGTGAAGAACAAGATGCAAAAGTTTCTTTTTGAATTATCTCAAGTGGCTTTTTAAATATGATTTCTGAAAGACTTGAACATTCTTTAAACGCACCTTCTGCTATGTTATCTACATTTGTTAAATTGAGAAATTTCAATTTTGAGCATTCCCAAAAGCATTTACTTGATACATTTCTGCATGATGAGGGAAAATCAAATTGTGTAAGTGCCATACAACCAGAAAATGCTTCATCATCAATTATTATAGTGTTATCTGGTATTTTAATTGTATGTAGTGACTTTAAATGCTTGAATGCTTTTTTTCCGATAATCAAAGATTTTGATGTAAGATTCATGACAATTACTTCAACATAAGGATATAAGTTAAATGAATTTTTAGCAAATTCTGTGATATTTCCGAAAAATGTAGCTTTTTTAATATTACTTGGAATTAATGGTGAGAATTCATAAATTCCATCTGTTGTAATATTAACTTCTGATTTATCATCATTGAATGATATGATAGAAAGCAGGCAAAAGAGATGTAACATTAAAATAAATTAAAAATTTTGTACACCTTTGAAATTTTTGAATGAATAGGGCCAAATGTGAATAAAAATATCTCAAACACAATTATATATTTGATTTAACTATAAAGATGCAATATAGAAAAAAAAATTCAAAGACTCATATAAACTTTTCTATTTGAATTTTGAATTCAAAAATGAGAGCTCGCCATGATCTGTAATTAGTCATGAACTATAAAAATTAATTGATGGCTTTATACAAAAAGAAAAATGAATGTATCAGATAAAATAAAAAAATTTACAAACAAATCCTCTCATATCTTTCGGCAGCTTAACATGTTCTAGTTATGAAGGTGTGATCGGAAAATAATTGAATGTATCAGACTTTATTATGAAGTTTACAAATTTATCAGACAATTATCTGCTTAATTTTATTCTTTAACAAAGTTTGTTGATTGATGTTGTAATTGAAATAAATGAAACTGTTGGTGTCCTCATTCTTTTGAGTTACTTTCTATATCTTTGTAAGTCAATATAAATATCTGAATAAAATTAATAAACATATTAGTCTGTTTAAAATTTTCTTCACAATTTTTCATCTGAGGATGTCTGCAATTGACTTTCATCCTCGGCTTTCGAGACAATTTGTGGTTTAAGTTCATTTGTTTTAGCAGCATGCTTTTTGCTTTGTGAGGTATCAGTTGATTTGATAGGTTTTTTGTCACTGGCATGTAGTGATTCTGTGCCATTATTGTTAATTTCAAGGTTACATAAAATTTGAACAATATTATGATGACCATTTTCAGAAGCAGTATCTAATGGAGTTTTACCATTTTGTAACGGAATATTTGGATCCGCGTGATGAGAAAGAAGAAGTTTAACAATCTTTTTGTGGCCATTTTGGCATGATATGTAGAGCGCTGTGGAACCGTCATTTCGTTGAGCATTAATGTTGAGATTTGATTGTTCCAATAAGATTTTAACAACGTTTGTATGCCCATGTTGACATGCGATATAAAGTGGAGATGTTCCATCATTAAATGGAATATTTGGATCTGCATTGTATGAAAGAAGAAGTTGAACAAGTTCGTGATAACCAAGTTGACATGCAACATAAAGAGAAGTTGCACCTTGATTTTGGCGAGCATTAATGTTGAGATTTTGTTGATTTAATAAGACACGAACAACATCTTGTTGATTATTTCGACATGCAATAAACAAAGGTGTCATTCTATCTATTATTTGTATATTTGGATCAGCATGATGGCTCAGTAGAAGTTCAACAATACTTTTATGACCGCATTGGCATGAAATACAAAGAGGGTTCCATCCATTGCCGTTTTGAGCATTTATGTTGATATTTGGCTGATTTAATAATATTTTAACAATTTCAATGTGGCCATTTTGGCATGCAGTATAAAGAGGAGAAATATCATTATTACATGTTTTATTAATATCGGTCTTTGAATTGTTTAATAAGATCTTGACAATTTCAGTATTGCCTTCTTGGCATGCATAATAAAGAGGAGTTGTTCCATCTATGAATGGAATGTTTGGATCTGCTCCATGCGCAAGTAGGAGTTCAGCTATTTCTTGCAATCTATTTTGGCACGATATATAAAATGCTGTTGCTTTATCGTCTCGTTGATAGTCGATGTTGAGATTTGGATATTTTAATAAAAGTTTGACAACTTCTGTTTTTCCATTTTGACAAGCAATAAAAAGTGGAGTTGTTCCATCGCTAATTGGAATATTTGGATCTGCATTATATGAAAGAAGAAGGCTAACGATATCAGGATATCCTTGTTGGCAGGATATAAAAAGAGAAGTCGAGCCATTTTTGCGCCGATAGTTAATTTTGATATTTGGTTGATTTAATAAAACAAGAACTACATCTAGGCGATTATTAAAGCATGCAATAAACAATGGTGTGACCCCATCTCCATATGTAATATTTGGATCAGCATGATGAGCAAGAAGAATTTCAACAATTTCTTTATGGCCTAGTTGACATGATACATAGAGTGCTGATGGACTTAAAGAATTCTGTGCATTAATGTCGATATTTTGTTGACTTAATAAAACTTTCACCACATCTGTATGTCCCATGCCACATGCAATATATAGAGGAGTTGCACCGTTATCACCATATTTATTTATGTCAATTATTGGACTATCAAGAAGGATTTTTACAATTTCTAAATTTCCGTTTTGAGATGCAATCATTAGAGGAGATAGTGAACCTTGGTATAAAATATTTGGATCTGCATTAAATAATATTAGTAACTTAGCGACTTCTGCGTGATTATTAAAGCAAGCAATAAATAAAGGGGTGGCGCCTTTATTATTTTGTGCATTTATAAAGCTATTTTGTTTGTCCAATAAGATTCTAACCACATCTGTATGACCATTTTGACATGCAACATAAAGAGGTGTTTCACCGGTTTTGAATGGAATATTTGGATCTGCATGATGAGAAAGAAGAAGTTTAACAACTTCTTTATGACCATTTTGACATGACATGTAAAGTGCTGTTGAGCCAGTATTATTTTGTGCATTAATGTTAACATTCGTTTGTTCTAACAAAAATTGAACTACTTCTGAGTGGCCATTCTCACATGCGATTATAAATGGTGTTGTGCCATTTTGTAATGGAATATTTGGATCGGCTTGATGAGAAAGAAGAAGTTCAACAATATCTTTAAATCCATATTGGCATGAAATATAAAATGCTGTGGAACCGTTATTTCGTTGAGCATTAATGTTGAGATTTGATTGTTCCAATAATATTTTAACAACGTTGGTATGTCCATTTTGACATGCGATATAAAGTGGAGATGCTCCATCATTAAATGGAATATTTGGATCTGCATTGTGAGAAAGAAGAAGTTGAACAAGTTCATGATAACTGCGTTCGCATGAAACATAAAGAGATGTTGAGCTATTATTTCGTCGCGCATTGATGTTGAGATTTGATTGTTTCAATAATATTTTAACAATGTTTGTATGTCCATTTTGACATGCGACAAAAAGAGGAGTTGATTCATCATTAAACGGAATATTTGGATCTGCATGGTGAGAAAGAAGAAGCTTGACAAGTTCATGATAACCGCGTTCGCATGAAACAAAAAGAGATGTTGATCCATTATTTCGTTGTGAATTAATGTTGAGATTTTGTTGTTTTAGTAAGATACAAACAACATTTTGTTGATTATTATAACATGCAGCAAACAAAGGTGTCAATCCATCTCCATAAAGAATATTTGGATCTGCATGATGAGCAAGAAGTTGTTCAATAATTTCTGTATGTCCTTTATAGCATGCGATATAAAGAGGAGTCGATCCATTAGCTTGTTTTTTATTGATTTCAATATTCGATATGTTAAGTAAAATTTTGACAATTTCTGCATAACCATTTTGGCATGCAATATATAATGGTGAATACCCATTTCCAAAAGAAATATTTGGATCAGCATGTTGATTAACAAGGAGTTCAACAATATCTTTATGTCCATTCATACATGCTACCATAATGGGCGTTGAACCATCATTTCTTTGAGTGTTAATTTTGATATCTCTTTGGGCAAGAAGAAGTTTAACAACTTCTGTGTGTCCATTTTGGCAAGCAACATATAATGGAGTTGAATTACTATTTGTTTGTGTGTTTGGATCGGCATGATGGGAAAGAAGAAGATCAACAATATCTGTATGACCTTTTTGGCAAGCAATATAAAGAGGTGTTATTTGATTGCTCATTTTGTCAACTTCAATTGAAGGATTTTGCAATAATTTTTTAACTAAATCTTTATGTCCATTTTGACATGCAATATATAATGCTGTGGAACCATTTTCATTCTGTAAATTGACATCAATTGAATATGGAAGGAGTGATAATATTTCAGAGTAACCTTTATATGAAATCGCATGAATTAATGATTCCTTATGAGTTGTAACTAAATCGGTTCTTGCATATTTATGTATCAAAAAATATACAATATTTTTGAAACCATTCAAACAAGCAACATAAAGAGGTGTTTCTCCCTGCTCGTTTTGATAATTAAGAACTACACCTTTCTGATATAAGTATTTGACAATTTCAAAATATCCATTTTGGCATGCAATGAATAATGGAGAAGATTCATCCCTCATATTTTTATTCGGATCTGCACCTCTATCAATCAAAAATTTAATGAGATCTAAATTTCCATTTTGGCAAGCAATGAATAAACCTGTGGCTCCAAATATATTTGTTTGATTGATATCAACGCCTTTACTTAAAAGATATTCTATTATTTTCATATAATTTGAAGTTTCATTTACATAATTAACTTCCATGTAATGTCCAAAATAACATGCCATTGTGAATGGTGTTTCTTTTACTGCATTATCTGAATTAAAATCCTTTCTTAAAGTTTCAAAATAATACTCTAAAATATTGAATTTTCCTGAAAAAGCGACAAATTCATATACTAATTTATTAAAATCTGCTTTGTGCTTATAAAATTTGTCAAACAAAACAGCGTCATCTCTTTTTAGTGCAAATTCATAAGGATCTTGTCTGCTAGGATTAGCTCCAAATTCGAGTAAAAAATCAATAAGGAACGTATCATTCAAATCACAAGCGACAAAAAGAGGTGTTTTTGTTTTTTGTCTAATCTGTTGATGTTGAATTTGATCATTTTTAGTAACAAAGTGTAATTTCTAAACATAATGAAATCTAACCAAACAGGAGAGAGAACATTCGTGTTCTTCCTATGGAGAAAAATCTTTGCATCCATACACCTATTGCAATCATTGAATTGAGACATCATTTCTTTGTTTTCGCTCATAATTGCTAAAAATGTTAAAAGTGGTTTAATTTCAAAAACATTTGTTGATTTAAGATAATTATAACAATTAATTGCTCCATTATGACATGCATCTTCGAGTAAGTTCATGTTACCTATCCTATATGTTGATAAATTGATATGTTTTCTCTTGATTTGGCGTTTTAAGGGAGGCTTACGACCAGATAAAGATCTCAATTTTTTGTGAAGTTTACAAGAAAAGTGAGATTCGTTAAGCGTTTTTCTCGTTGAATATCAAGTTTTCCCGAATTTTAGTTATTCATAAAGCACCTCTATATTATCCCCTATCTACCGATATGATTATTTTTCAAAAAGCTAGCACATTAATGAAACAAGATTTTTTTCGAAAAAATTTTAAATTTTCTAGGCGTTTTGTGTAATGTTTTTTTATACAAAAGAACCAAAAAAATATTTTTTTTTGAAGAATGATTTGGATAGAATACTTTGCGGAAATTATTTTTATTATAATTTTGGTCGATAAATACTGGCGGATTCAATTTTGGCAAACCTCCAAGATTTCATTTTTGGACGATTCCGAATGGTGTCCTTTTTGAATTTTAATTGGAAAAATATATTTGTCGATATATGGAGATACTAAAATACTTAGTTTAAAAATTCTATGTCAAATCGTCACCTTTTTCCCATTTTTTTCAGCTATTTTTTATTAAAATCTAATTGTAAATTAATGGGTAATACATTGTGCTATTTTACTTTTTCAAAGCTGTATCAATTTATTGAGAGAAATTTTCAAGTTCGGAATTTGGATGAAAAGTGAAGATATTTAAAAAAAAAAAAAAAAAAAAAAAAGGTAGTGGGGCTTCCAGGCACTTCGTGCCCTCTAGCCCCTAAATTTTTTCCAAAGTTTAGAATGTCATTCCGTAATTGGGACGAAGTCATTGCGCACTTTTCTACGCACCAACCAACACCAGAGCAGTTAGAAGTGCTTGAGAAGATGAAGGAGGAGACTCTGGAGTATTTGAGACAACAAATTGCAAATTACAATTCGAAGATTGACGAAACAGTCTATAGAGTCTCATCGGCAGAGTCACATATAGAAGTGGACCAGTTGGTCAGTGACTTATTATATTATACTGCTGAACGAAACAAATTATATAACAAATTGAAAGAATTGGAATAAAAAATTAATATTTTACTTATATTTTTTTTCTTACAAGCTCTGGGTAGTATGTGGGGGGCTTCCCCCCGAAGATGTTTAGTATAAATGAAGTTTTTATTCGGAAAATTGTTAGCCTTCTGGTGTGAATTCGGAGGACTCTTTCTTTTCAACATCAAAGTCATCTGGTGTATCGAACTGAATGTATGAAAGCCAAATGTTGTATGTGTTTTCCAATTGGCTTTCAAACTTGAGATACATTCCATGCATGAGTGTTATTTCAGTTTCAACGTAGAGTTGCTGATGTGGCTTGAAGACATGCATGAGAATTGGTCCTCCAAATTCGTCCTTGAAAAACTTGCAGTAGCAAACATAAACTGAGATAGAGTCTCCTTCTTCAATGTCTTCTGCTTGGTTAACGAAATGAATAGCAATTTTGCGTACTTGAATTGTGTTGTTGTCTGAGTAAAATAATGGTTTGAACTTGGGGTTGAGTGAGCTAAGACATTGCCATTTTGCTGTTTCTTGTCCGTACTCACGTTCTTCTTCGTCATCCTGATATCCGTAACTCTTTGATTTGAATTCGACCCAAAGCTGTTCGACTTTTTTTGCAGCTTTGGGTGGAAGACTTTCAATAAGCTGACATATAGTTCTGTCAACCATTATCTTTGTTATTGTTGAAAATAGTTGACGATTGTGTCACCTAATTCGAATGGGTCAGGTGTTTCTTTTTGTAGTTTGGTAAAGTCTGCAAGAACTTTGTTGAGTTGTTCACAATATTCTTTGTTAAGTTGCAGGACTCTTTCTTCTGGCTTTGAATTGAAGTATTCTTCAGACAATCTGAGTAGTATTTTGCGTAGTTAGCGTTGCTGTGGTTCTTTGTAATACGGAGCTCGTTTGGTATTGTTTTTGGTAGTGAAAGTGGCTTTGGATTGAGTGAATTGCAGGACAAATTTGAATTTGAATTGTCTGTTCTGCTTGGAGAATGTGTAGATGCTGCAGTTTGATATTGAGGTTCTAAACCTGTGGGCGCTGAAAGTCTGCAAGCAATTTCTTCAGGTGAATTTGGAGCGAACACGCTAGCGAATGCCATTAGACAAAAATAAACTGTTTTTTTCAAATAAGAGTTTGAGATGAACCGTTTTCGTCAACGGAGACCCCCTCTATTTTTTATTTTTATTTAATAGTTACCGTTGGCAAACCGTTCCATCTCAAATATTGAATGAACTATAAACGTTTTTTGTTTTCTATATATACTTTTTGTCCAACGGTAAAACTTTTTACACAACGGTTTTTGAGAGTCGTCGCCGTTGACTTTTTTGTAGAGCACTCAAAATAGTATAACTTTGTCCGGACAAGTAAGGGTCTATCGTCGCTACAGGAAAAGTTACAGGCGTTCCAAGGAAGTATACTTTGAGAAGACTTTGTCTATGTATCATCCAGGGTATCTGTTAGTTCCTTTGTTGCTGGTGTTGCGCGGGGGTGTTGAAGATGGTGGGGATCGAGTTCTTACTACCGCTGTTTGGTTATGCTTACTATCAAAAGGAATATGTAGATAGAAAGTTTGCTGGTGGCGAGCACACTTCGAAAAGAGCCCAGCGAGTAGGTGTCCTCAGTTTGAGCTTCAGTGAGGACAGAAATCGAGACGGTTGAAGGTAAGGCCAAAAGCTCAAATTTACTGTGCCTTTTGTACTAGGTCGTTAGCGAAAGTAAGGGCTAACGTCCCCTAAATAGCCTGAGGTGCATGAGGATTGGGTAGACAAGTTCCTCCGGGAACTGGCTGTGGCTGCTAAGAGATCAATAACGCGTTTTTGATTCTTCGATGTCGGCTCTTCCTACTAGTGATGTACAAATTGCTAAGGTCGGATTGTTCACCCGTCTTAGGGATCGGAGCTGGGTTTAGACCGTCGTGACCGGTTTGGTTTTATTCCTACGGATTAGGCATCAATGATAGTAGATTGATTTATACGAGAAGGAACTGTTGATTATGGCCTCTGGTTAGCGAATTATCGGAAAGGTATGTCGCGCAGCTACGCGTCTGGGATTAATGGCTGAAAGCCTCTTAACAGAAGCCCATTAGAAGGTGATGCACGTGAATGTCTTGGAACCGATAGAATAATCAATACTCAAAGGTCCGCTTATAGGTAACCATGTAGAAGACATTGTGCTGAACGAAGGTACTGTAAAAGCAGTGGAGTGGCATTACTCCAGACTGTTGAGGT